ACTCAACGACGTGCTTACTCCTGCCCCAAAGGGCCCGGGGAAAAAACTTGGGCGGTGTACAGAGGACAGGGAACAGTGAATCCACGAAAAAAGGGTTTATCAAGGGATTTCCCAAAAAAGGGGGAGGGATAGAGGTGGTGTAAAATGATAAATGAAAAATCTTACCCAAATAAAAGGAAAACCCCCTTTTAAATTTACTTAAGGTTTTGACAATAAATATTAACGGTTTGAGATCTGAGCGGAAGCGAAAATGGGTTTAATGAAATTTTTTGGGCGTCTAAATGTGGATCTTGGTATTTATCCAAGAACACAATTACAGAATTGGATATGAGTTGAAATGGATGGTTATGATGTGTTTTGGAATATTGCGACGAGGTTAAAAGGAGGCGTCGCCATTTGGGTAAAGGAAAATAGCCGTTTGTAGTACGCCATAGTGAAAGGGGGGAGGGGGAGAGTGATTAGAGTGGATGGTTATTATGGGTAGAGACACATACGTTATGTATGTGATATATGGGCGGCCGCCGAGGGAGATGTACGACTTAGGACTCATTTTGTACAAGATGTATTAGTATATAATCTACGTTAGTTTACAAAATGTAGCGATAATAGGGGAGAATGAATTGTTAATACGACGAAAAGATGTGGAGCCTCGAGGAGCGGGTTGTTGCTTGGGATTCCTGGGAGATTTATTGACGTAGTGTGGGTTTTAATGGATGTGTGTGGGGGGGGTGGTGGCATGGTGGGAGCATTATTTTATTAGACGAGATTATTGCGGCGATTGATTGGATAGAATGTAGTGTCTAGTGCAGTGCGATTACAGTGCGGAGAGTGAATGTGATAAATGTGGTTTTTTCGGATCACAGAGAGGAGGAGTTGTAATGGATGTAGAATATTGAGGGTGTGCCTAGAAGGGGTCCATCATTTTGGAAATTAAATGTAAAGTTATTGAAGAGGGAGGAAAGTCTTGTGTCTTTTGGGCATATGTGGAACGCCTTGTGGTTTGAAGCAACCTGGAGATGTGGATTTGGTTATGGTGGGAAACGGATTAGCCAAAAGCGAATTAAGGTAAATATTATATTTGTCAAGGAGTGAGTATAGTTCAGTTACAATATGGTTTCATACGATATTTTAGAGAGGGGCAGTTGTGCGACTGCTATGTACAAGAGAAAATGTAATTATCCTGTTATAGAAATGAAAGAATTAAGGAGCAACTACGAATTTACAAACGAAAGGTTTGATGGGGAAAGGCTTAAGGGTGGATCGAAGAGGTTTTGTGGGAGAGATCGGCCGTCGGGCGGTGTTTGGGTTGAGGGAATCAACACAGACGTCGCAAAAGCAATGGAGTTAATGGGGTTGAATGTTCAGGTAGGTTATGCAGGGGTTTATAGAGTGAATCAGGTGTTGGACGACGACGGAGGGTATGAGTGGGTATATAGATGGCTTGGGTTAAATTGAAAACGCAAAGTGTGGGAATAAGTGAAATTGCATTGCAGTCATCGGTAGGGTTTGTGCATGCTGTGAGCTGGAGGATGTTGTTGCATGATCGTTTGATGTTGGGAGGGCGATAAACGGATTGTGTGAGACTTGGGAGGCTTTATCTGGGGCGCAAATTGGGTAAGGCAGTCAGGACAATTGATGGTTGCCCAGCGACTTTTATCTTCAAAATTGAACGTATTTTAAGGGGTTTTTGTACGTTTATTCAATTAATTGAAGCGGGATGGGGTTTTAGGGGAACAACAAAGGTTGGCTGTGGTCGTCCTAGTTCCTAAAGGTGAGCCATTAAACGAGTTAATGGATTATCGTGCATCTCGTTATATGTGGTGACTATAAAATTTTTGGAAGGTCTTGGCTAACAGAAATAAAAAAGTCCTGGGCAGAGTGATTGACAAGGACAATATGGGGTGCCGGCAGGTCTATGTATGTAGGAGACGGTATGATTAAGATGTTTTATGAAGAATGAGTAAGATTAGGAAGGGGGGGGGGTATTGGCCTATAGATTGGGAGGCGGCATATGATAGTGTGGAACGGGAGAAGTTATGGGAGTCATGGATGGCAGGGGTTTGGGCGGAATTATATCATGGGCCAAATTAAAGTATCAGGATGAGGCAACCTTTGCGTGTGCAGGTGAATGGGAGGTTGGGAGATCGAATTCAGATGGGAAGGGTTTGCGTCAAGGTTGTCCCTTTCACAAATTTTTTTTGCTTTGTTTTCAAGATCCCTTTTATTAGGAGGGATAAGGGTTTTATTGGAAGCTAGGGGAAGGGTATGTAAGGGATGGGGGGAGCGGGCATTGTTGGATATGTCGACGATACGACGATTTTGGTGAGAGAAAACATGATTTGATTCGGGTAGAAACTGTTTAGTGAAAGTTTTTGGAAAGGCTACTGGGTGACGATCAACATGGGGAAACAAAGTTATGAATCTTTGGAAAAGGGTCAGTTGTGAGGACGGAATGGTTGCTGAAAGGTGGAAAAGGGAGGACAAATAAAGGATATGTGGGATCGTTTATGTAAAATGATATCAAGGTTAGCACAGCAATAAATTCCGTGCGCTATCGTTGATAGTTGTTATGAAGCAGCCTCAGTGGTTTAAGAGCTGCTAATTTAGTTTTGCAACAAAGGGTGATTAAACGAATGTGCTATTATATAGTAAACTATGGCATGTTTACGGTAATATTTCCGATACTTCGTTTTGTGAGTTAAAAAGGCTACAAAAAAAGTGTTTTTAGATTCATTTGGGGAACAGGGAGCGAGAATGGTTAATAGAGCGGTTGTCACACTCCAGTTGGCCGTGGAGGGCTGGGTCTTATAGTGTCGAAAAGAGGATAATAAGAATGTATTTAAAAACATAGTTATAAGGGGAGGGAGGGTGTGAAAGGAGACGGTCTCTTTCATAGGATACATCAGGATATGCGACGGTCGGTGGGGGGGTAGGGAGTTCCTGATAGGTGAGGCAATGTTAAGGGTATTTATAAACGTGAGGTGAACCTTTACATTATTAAATAGAGAAAAATCTTGATAGGGCAGATGGTAAGCTTGGTTAGCGGCGGATTTTAGAAGGAGTTTATCCGATGTATGATTGGCGTAATATTTGGGGGCGTTTAAACTATGCGTTTAAACCTAAAGTCAGAGAAGTTATGTATAGATTTTTACATGGAATATTTGCCGTCAGGAATGGTTTTATTCTATAAAGAGAATACGAGAGGATGGGGAATGCTAGGATTGTGGTTGGATTGGCGACTATTTATTCATAACGTGTATTTTTGACGATTGTATTGAACTTATATGTGAGACGTTTTGGATGGGTAAGGTTTTAAGGGTTTAGTGGGGGGGGGGGTTTGCAGGTCTTGAGGGTTTTAAGTTTAGATATAACTGGGGTGAATAATAAGGGTGAGAATGCGTTGGGTATATGATTACGGATATATATATATGATGTGGGCTATGAGAGGGGCGGATACGTTGCGTGCTTGTGAAGAAATTAATGCGTTGGCAGCAACTTTTTATAGGACACAGGTAGGAAAATAAAGGGGAGTGTATGGAGAGGAGATGGGAGAGAGATTTTAGTGAGGGTTATTCGAAATTTCACATTAAGGGATTTATGGATTGCAAAGTGGGTTATTAAGGGGACACAACGGGCTATTTTCCTAGACATGGGTGTGAGCATGGAGTGCGTTTATAAGGATGTATAATTGAGTTTTGAATCTATGGGCACTATGTGGTTATTGCCCCGAGGGTTTTCAGGAACTAAAAGTTATCATTTGAAATGTGTTGCACTACGATTGCATATTATCATTTTATCATGATTAAATCATTTCAAGGCGTTATGATGAAATTTTCAATGGACTCAAATTATGTTATAGGTGTCTTTATGATTTGATTCAATTGGTAATTGTTAAAATAAAAAAAAAAAAAAAAAAATTCTAGGTAAGCTAATGGTTCTTATTTTTATGTTTATTTAATGATGTGGTACAGTCTGCTTTCAGTTATATTATATTACATGTAATACTAGCATCATTTTTTTTCTTAGTTCCGGGAGATGGTAAAATTTTCACATCGTAGTTTGTTTTTGTTATATGGGTTTGTTTTATTGTGACTTGTAAGTTTATCCGTTTCCTTCTTTGTATCCTAAATACATATGTATGTTAAGTTCTTGTGATAATAGCCTAAATTTTGTTTGAGTATCGTGGTGCTCTTGTTATGCACCGGAGATTTTGATTTAGTCCTCGCATAAGGGTTGTTTTGTTGGACAGGCAGAAAACCTCACCTAGGTTGATTGTGTTTGTGTGTCAATGGGCGTGTTTAGTGTTTTTTTATTTCTCTTGTTTTATTGTTCTATTATTTATAATTTCCAGGGTTTGTGTTTTGTATAAGTAACCTTGTTAGAGATGTTCTTTTAACCAAAATAAAAAACAATATCACTGTAAATGTATAGTGTTGAGTGTGAGTGTGTATATTTCACTGTAATATACGGTGTGTTGTGTGTGTGAGTGTATTACCATGGTAATACACAGTTGTGTTGTGTGTGTGTGTGTGTGTATTACACTGTACAGTATGGTATCAATATTAGGTTTCGGGTTAAGTGAAATTCTAGTGCAGTAAGCTTTTGTCGTGTATCTTTTTAATATATTTCTGCTATTTGTATCGCACTGTTTTAAATAAAAAAAAAAAAAAAAAAAAAAACTTCCCTGGATGGTTGCTGTCTACCAACCTACTACCTGTAACTAACTGTAACTGCAGTAATAAAATAGTTACTGTTAGGGTAATTTAGAGAGGTACACTGTAATGTATTTAAATTAGGTTTAAAGATTATCAGCTGCACCATAGGCTGCAGGTCACCTGTATACTAACATCAGTTTCTTAAATGGGGAATATATTACTTTTCCATTGGTGGGGGAACAACGACCTTATAGCAGGTCGTTCTTCCCCCACCTATAGAACTACCTTATAGCAGGTCGTTCTAGTAGCATGAAAGAACTCGCATACCTACCTAAACACACTTACTTTTATGTCGTTACAAGGTCGATTCTCAGCTCCTGGCCCTGCCAATTCCCTTACCTTTAAGGTGATATTAAAGAGCGAAAAAAAATGTGGAGCACTTCAGAACGAGCGCTGGTTTACTAGACTGAGTCAACTGGTTAAGTGAGTTGTTTATCTCTGTTCTCGTGTATTTATAAAACATGGATCGAATGCCAAATGCTGCTATGTAATAAAATGGAAAAATATATAGCAATAGAGGGGAAGAACAGACATACACTTAGACAACCGTGGCTTATGGAAGAACTGACTCTTGTTGCTTTTAAAGCATTCGGTTATTCGGTAAGAATGGATGTGACAATTGGATTATTTCGTTCCGTTAGTAGGCATTTCTTGGTCCCATACATACACACACACAAACACTATTATATATATATATATATATATATATATATATTATATATATATATATATTTATATTATTTATATATGTATACATATTATATATATATATATATATATATATATATATATATATATATAGTTATATTATAATATATATATATATATTATATGTCGTGCCGATTGTAAACTGGTAAATTAGCAAGAACTCATTTAAAATTAAGTTCTTTCTGAAATTTTCTCTTATACGTGTAAAGATATATTTTCATTCATTAATGTTAATGTAAAAAAAATTAATTTTGCACCAAAAGAATCTTAGAAAAACTTACCTACACTTACTATAACAAGAAACAAATAATTTTAGCCTAAACCCACTAAATATATTTTTAAATTACGTTTCAATAATTTAGTACTAAACAGGCACAATCAAATAATTTTTTTTGCTAGGTTCAGGATTGATTTTGGCGAAATTATTGAATACACAAATTTTCACATGTCCTATATGGCAGATTAAGCGTTGCTATTTAAGCCACGATCGCAAGTTCTGCATATTCGGCACGCATAATTTACTACTCTATTATATTATATATATATATATATATATATATATATATATATATATATATATTTATTATATAATATATATCTTCTTCTTTCACGTACCAGCCGTTATCCCACCGAGGCTGGGGGTGGCCAAAAGAAAAAACTAAAAGTTTCTCCTTTTAAATTTAGTAATCTATACAGGAGAAGGGTTACTAGCCCCTTGCTCCGGCATTTTAGTAGCCTCTTACGACACGCATGGCTTACAGAGAAGAAATTCCTGTTCCACTTCCCATGGAGATAAGAGGAAATAAACAAAAACAAGAATAGAAAGAAAATAGAAGAAACCCAGAGGGGTTGCTGGGCCGTATTACCGACATAGGCAAACTAGGCATTTAGCTAAGGCCCCGCGAATTTGGGGGCCCCGCGCGTCCATGGGGTTCCAGGGTTCATCAAGACTGCGCACATGGTGAAGTGCAAAGGGGTCCCCTACTAAAGTTCAATGTGTTTGGAGAGTAAAATTGATTTTAAAAATTAATCAAAACAAAAAATAAATAATAAAATAAAATAAATAAAAATAAATAAATATTAACCATAGATGGCAACACTCAACCGTCTTTGTTTTACATCAGAACAAGCTGTGTTTTCCCGCTAATGGGTGGTATGGGAGATTCCCTCCAATTTTCTGTAGTGTATATGATTTGATTAGTCTTATGCATGATGCAATGATAAAAAAATAATGGTCAGTGATTTATAAAGGAATAATAGTGCTGTAGTGTTATGCTGAATATAATAGGGTACATGAATCGTCACTACTTGTTTAATAGCCTAATCTAGTAATACTATGCTGTCTTTGAGTTTATTCTCTTTAAAATGCATGATTTAACAAGGTAGTTATAATGGCTGTTGGTAATGGTTTGTGGTTTGTCTTGATGTTACTTTCCTATTAAATTTAATCTAAATAGCCAGAATGTATTTAATTAGACATTTAGCAGACTCACACAGACTCTCCCCCACCCCTAAGCTGGAAGGGGTCGCTTCGCTTACCGAAAGCAAAGTGGGCCCCGCCAATCAGAATAGCCTAGGGCCCGGAAGACTTCTTAATCCGTCCCTGGAGGGGTGTGTTTGTTTATATATTGCTTTTACATGTATGTGAAGTGTTGACTAAGTGCAAAGTAGAAGTAGCACAGACGTACCTGTAATATTGCAGATTTATGGAGACAGACAAAAGGACACCAGCCAATCCTACCATCATGTAAACAATTACAGGCTTTCGTTTTACACTCACTTGGCAGGACGGTAGTACCTCCCTGGGCGGTTGCTGTCTACCAACCTACATAATATATATATATATATATTTATATATATATATATATATATATTATATATATATTATATATATATATATATGTGTCGTGCCGAATAGGCAAGAACTTGCGATCTTGGCTTAAATAGCAACGCTCATCTTGCCATATAGGGACAAGTGAAAATTTGTGGTATGCTTAATTCGCCAAATCATTCTGAACCTAACGAGAAAAATATATTTCATTGTGTTTGTTTAGTATTAAATTTTGTAAACAACATCTAAAATATTTTTAGTTGGGTTAGGCTAAAATAAATTGCTCTTGTTATAAAAAGGTTAGGTAAGTTTCTAAGTTCCTTTTGGTGCAAAAATTTAATTTTTTTTCTTTAAACATTAATGAAAAAAAATATATCTTTAAAGTATAAGAAAAAATTTTTAGAAAGGCTTTTTTTAAAAGATTCTTGCTAATTACCAGTTTTAATATTCGGAAAAAAATTATATATATATATAATATTATATATTTATATTTATTTATTAATCACAAAAACCTCGGACACTCCCAGTAGGGACCCAAGGGGGGGGTCACCATACTTGGAAAAGCCCCGGGCCGGGAGAGTCCGGGAATAAAAAAAAAAAAAAAAAAAAAAAAAAAAGTGTTTTTAAAATATTTATAAACTGCAACAGACCGGATCGACCTACGCCCACCCACGAACCTTGTGCCGCCTTAGAGACAGCACAGTGTACGCATACCTTACCATAGACCAGGGGAACCTCAAAAACAAAACAACAGAGGAGCTATGTGTTTTCCTTGACAGAGGAAGTGTGGCAGTGGTTTTCAAGAATTTAAATTTTAGCCTCATCCTTTCTCGGCCCTGGCAAAACAATCCCTGTTGGTGTTTATTTTGTAGGATCGCGGGCCCAGTGATCAGTTGTGGACATTGTGCTGTTTGGAGGGGGCAAAAAAGGGTTTGTAGGGTCGAAAATTTGGCGTACGTTTTCAAAGTTTTAAAAATAAACAAAAAAATAAAATTAAATCTTTTCGCTAGGTTTAGAACGATTTTTGTAAATTACTGCATACTAAATTTTCATTCCCCTTTTTCGGAAGAAAAGCGCTCCTATTTTAGCCAAAATTGCAAGCTTTACCTATTCCTTTTTATATATTATTTATATATTATATATTATTTATATTTAATATTATTTATATATATATATTATTTTTATATATATATATATATATTTAATATAATATTTATATATATAGAATAATATATATATATATATAATAAATATATATATTAAATTATATAAATATATATATATAAATAATAAATATATATAATAATATTATATATATATAAATAAATATATATATATATTTCTATATATATATATATATATATATATATCTATAATTTATTTAGTAGTAGGTTGGTAAGACAGGCAACAGCCCAGTGAGGGTACTACCGTTCTGCAAAGTGAGTGTAAAACGAAGCCTGTAATGTTTAATTTGATGGGTAGGATGCTGGTGTCCTTTTTTTGTCTCATGAACATGGAAGATTACAGGTAGTCTGCTACTTATATTGACTTACCTGGAGGGTACCTGGAGGTTATACCGGGATCAACGCCCCGCGGCCCGGTTCCATGACCAGGCCTCCGATGGATCAGGGCCTGATCAACTAGGCTGTTACTGCTGGCCGCACGCAGACCAACGTACGAGCCCAGACGGCTGATCCGGCACTGACTTTATGTATCTGTCCATCTCTCACTTGAACCCCCCCCCCCCCCCCCCCCCCTCCACCCCCCCCCCCCCCCCCCCCGGCTGCCAGGGTTTATTCGGCAATTCCCCTAATGCTTGAGGAGGCTGTTGAACAGTTTTGGGCCCCGGACACTTATGGTGTTTTCTCTTAGTGTACCAATGGCGCCCCTACTTTTTATTGGGGGCATTTTGCATCGCCTGCCCAGTCTTTTACTTTCGTAGGGAGTGATTTCTGTGTGCAGATTTGGGACCATTCCTTCCAAGATTTTCCAAGTGTAGATTATGATATACTTAGGTCACACTACACATACGTGTACAAGCATATGTGTTAGCAGTATCTCCCCCTCACATCTCCCCCATACACAAGAACACACACATATGCACACATACACACACCTGCACTAGGACATATTGTAATAACTAGGCGAATCCACACATACACACACACACACACACACACACACACACCACACACCCACCACCACTTGTCACCAAACACTGACACAACACGTATTCCCCCATCCCCTAACCACCTCACCTTAGCCACCTACCCCTCCCCCAAAACCACCTACCCCTCCCCAAACCACAAACCCCTCCCCAAACCACCTACCCTCCCCAAACCATTTAACCCCAACTACCACTCCCTCCCTCTCAATAGCCATCCTCCCCTTCCCCATAACATCCATCCCCTTCTCTCTCAAATGCTTACTCCCCCCTCCTAACCACCTTCCCCCTTCCTAAAACCCCCCCCCTAACCTAGCCACCACCCCTCCCCCAAACCATCTAACCCCCTCCCCCAACTATCTCTACCCCTCCAATAACCTCCTCCCCCTCCCCCATAAACCATTCCTTCCCTCTCCTCCTAACCATCTATTCCCCTCCCCTAACCACCAGTCCCCCCCTTCTGTGGAGCCAAACGGGGGATCCTAGAACCAGGATGAGGGGACAAGGGGCTCCAAGGGCAATCTGGGTAGGAGGGAATGGGAGGCAGAGCTCAAAAAAAGGGAGGATGACTGGGGGAAGGAGACTAGATGAGCTGAAAGAAGATGGAAGAGAGGTTAGCAGAAGATGCAGAAGGTGGAAGCAAAGGCACAGCAGCAGAAATCAAGATAGAGAGAATTGAAGAGGAGCTGAGCATCTGAAACCGCACTGAGACG